CCTTAAATAACCAAATGCTGCTAATAGTGTTGACAGGGACGTTAAATCTATACCATTTCACATTTTTTTCGCTGAAGTATGGTCACTGATTAGTCACAAGGGACGCAACAAAGAAAAGTATGCTGGACATCGCTGGATTTTCCGTCACTAAGATCTTGACATCGTTGGTTCTTCCATTGTGAGCTATTTTTTTCTAACCCTCACACAGACTGGCTTAGCTGGTTTTTCCGTATGAGACTTAGACGGACTAAAGCAGACCCAGCCAGGCATCATTCTGGGACAATAACCCACCCAGAAAATAGAAAAAAATGACATCGCTGATATTTCCCTTGTGCCCTTCTTGTCTTTTTTGTTAATGATAATATATGAATTGGGTATGTTGGGTTCAGGGGGTGGGGTAGTAGCTCACGGTGAATGACAGTCACATCGTGTATGGAGGGTCACGACCCCACTTGATCCCCACTTCTGTACCTAGCTCACGTATGGCTCCACGGATACTGCTAGTGTACGGCAGTGGCCACACCTCGGGCAACGGTTTTGGCTGACCGGCTAAACTACGTGAGCGAGCCTTCGGGCGGGGAATGTCTACCAATACACAAAGACTGGCTCCGGCGGACTGGGCAGAGGAAACCTCCAAGGTTCAACGGGTGGAAAAGCGGACCCAGCAAAGCGCTTTGGAGCGCAGCATAGGGCCAGTGAGGCACAAAAGACACAGCTAACCACCCACTGCATCTTGACCATTCCCCAGTCGTCTTGACTGTGTCCTGCCACTGGCTACAGATGGGCCGGGACGAGGAAGTGAGGCTGACGACCTGCGCAACTCTCCCTCAGTGTAATCCTAGTCGAGCGCAAATCATGACTTCATACTGAACAGCCCCCGGACAACGATACACAGCGCCACAAATCATAGTGAAGGGACAGAAACTTCAGGCAGTTAACCACTTTACCTATCTAGGCAGCACACTTTCACGTGCTGTACATAAAGCTGAAATTAACAACGATTCGCCAAGGCCAGTGCCGCTTTTGGGAGGCTTCGCAAGAATGTCTGGGAGCGCAGAGGGCCTCTCCACAAAGCTGAAGGTCTACCGGGCAGTGGTTATCCTTCTTTACGCCAGCGAAACCTGAACTGTCTACAACTGACACGCCAAGCAGCTCAATCGATTCCACCTGAGCTGTCTTCGTAAGATCCTCCGCATCAGATGACAGGGCATAAGCCCCAGACACTGCTGTTTTAGAGCGAGCCGGAACCCCCAGCATCTACACCATCCTCCATAAAACGCGAGCCAGATGAACCGGCCATGTGATCAGAATGGCGGACAGCCGGTTGCCCAAACAGCTGATTTATAGAGAGCTGCTTCATGGCAAGCGCTCAGTTGGATGGCAGAAAACTCGTTTCAAGGACTGCCTCAAAGCCTCACTAAAGGAACTTGAAATCCTGAACGACTCATTGGAAACGCTGGCCCTAGATCGTCCCGCGTGGCGCTGCAATCTAACGAAGGGAGCTAAAGCAGCAGAAGCCAAACGCATCGATGAAGCCAAACAAAAATGCAACGTGCGCAAGTCTAGACCTGCCTCAACCACAAGTCCAACAGCAGACTACCCGTGCCCACAATGTGGGCGAATGTTCCGGGCCCGGATAGGCCTGATCAGCCATCCCCGGACCCACAGTCACCGTCAACAGACCGATTTGTGAAGTCATGGTCATCTTCATAAGCGAAGGACAAACAACACATACATGTGTATTCTGAGCGGAGTCTTCTCTCTTTCTCTCTATCTCTATGTCTTTCTCATGGGAGAAAGATTATCAAGTAGCCAACCAGTGGGTGTTGTGCGCCGTCTGTGGTCTGCTTGCCAGCGGTTAGGCGGGAGCAAATTTACATTAGTTGAATAAGGACCGTACAACCAAGACAGCTGGCGAGTAGCGGTATGAAGGCGTAAATACTTTGTTTACAAAGGCGCTCCTTTTCGTACATATTGGCAAAACCTGGTGGTAAGCGGGTCTGACAGTGGCCATTTAACGGGGGACGGTACATAGAGGTTCGACTGTAGTTCACTGACTGCTGA